TTTTATGGTACACATGTATCATTTGTATAAGTTTAAGAGGTCTTCATGCCTGGATACTTTCTGTCAAGTTTGGGCACTTTTTGGAAATGAAGTAGTTTAAAGGTTTTTCTATTTTTAGTAACTTTGGCTTTTCTATTTTTAGCAACAATGGCCATATTTGTAGGTAGATCAGCATCGTTTGTATAAACTTAAAAAGTATTCCTGCCAAAATAGTTTCCAATAGCCAATCAGAATTGACTGGTTCCTAAATTTTCCTGCATAGAATATTTGATTAATGAGAATAGGCTAATCATGCCGCAATTAACTTTCCTTTGAACAATCAATTATTGTCATGCTTCCCCTTTGTACCGGTGAGAGTTTGCAGAGTATTATGCCAAGACCCTTGTACCATAACAGATAACTCAGTCAATTTTCATTAAGTGAAACCAAGTTTCCTTTGACATTCAGAGATGATATGAGAATAATCAGAGAACTGTCTCTAGCCCTTTCTACTTTAATAAAGTTAACTTTTGTACAATTCATTTAATCAATACTTTTAAGAGTTTCAAAATTCAACACATCACAGTCTATATGGAACCTACGATTCAAAGATGGCTGATTACAGAGTGGCTTATCTGCCCTTTAATTACCCTTGATATCTATATGACTATAATCTACCAACCATACGGAATACCTTATCAAAATTATCTTTCTGTAAATTCGGGGATTTTAAAAGCTTGCCATATTTAGGGTTTTACACCACTATAATGTGGAAAGGGGTTCAAAAAAGACTAAAAAATTTGGATTTTGAGAGGTTTCAATGTTGTTCAAAGCTTTTAGTATGTCTGTAATTTCTGCAACAAAAAATAAGGCTTCTTCTGATAACTGGCTTGAGATGGGTTCATAATTTAGTTGTACTTATTTGTAGAGTAAAATCTGTCTTGAGAGAACACTGCATTGTGACCAGATGTCTTGAGCAACCAGGTTCACACTGCACAGATTTATGGGCTAATATTATACCTGCCATGAGAGACCATTACTTTTGAGCAGAAGAGAAGGTTTTTCATGATGGGTTCTACTGTATAGACAAGTTTGAACAAATAGATATCAGCAATTTCAAACAGTTTTATGTGATTTTAATATGTAGAATATCTAGTGAGACATTTTTTTTATTAACCTGGACATACAAAAATGAATGGATGACATTCATGTACAATATAATCTGCCTTAAGCAGACACATCCTTATCATGGCTAAATGTTTATAAATGATTGATAGTATTGACCCTGTATATTAAGGATACCTGTATACAAAATAAATGTCATTTCCCTTGAATGTTCTTTATAAACAAGTTAAATTTGATTGGGTGCATGTGTGCATGCATACATGCATGCATGTACATGTGTGTGTGTGTGTGTGTGTGAATACCAAAAACATGGTAACAAATTTGTGGAATACCCAGTCAGAACTTACCAGATTTGTAGAATACCACACAAGGACTTTACCCAATTTGTGTAATACCCCCTTAAAGGGCTGATACTTTACAGTGATTTAAATCAACCAGATGTCAATATTTAAAATGAACAAAAGAAGGAAAATAGGTAGACATTAGAAGGTTTCTATATGCAGAATTAATGTAAATAAGACTTTATTGGACACTGCCGTTATTTCAGTTCAACATAGATTGTTTTGGAGAAATGCTGCAATTATTTAAGTTTAACATAGATTCTTTTGGGGGCAATGCTATTAATGCCAGAAAGGATCAGGCTGTGGATTTCATCACATTCTAATGTCTGCTTATAAAGCTGCATTAGTTCATAACTGAGTTTGCCAGCTCATTATACTATCCTGCACATAGAGCTGTGCTATTAATTGACTGGCTTCCTGTTTCAGAAGGTCAGCTATGAGCAGAACCTTCTGATAAAGAAAACCAGTCAGGAAATCACATGGTTCATTTGGATGCCAAATATCCAGGCCCAGATTGTCTAGAGTGTTAATTTATATGGACTTGTTCTATTTCCCCCAAAATATAAATGGCAAATTGCTTAAAATTGATTATCTTGATTGCCAATTTTCTAGACAAACTCCTAATTTTATTATTTTGTCTCCCAATGGACCCAGATTATAGTACTTGATGTTGTATAGCAATTTGGCAAGAGTAATGGTTACATTTCAGAATGTACTTAATGAACTGGATGAGCACTTGCCAATTAGGTGTAAGTCATCCCAGTTGTAAGTAAATGACACTTAAAGAAGCTGTTAATTTTTAACCAGAATTCTCATGTCTAGATTTAGATGCTTTGAATAGTAAAATCAAGTTGGAGAAAATTATCATGAAAATGATACAGCCTAAAGCTGATGTAAAATAGAGCACAGACTGGTAGCTAAAAGATTACATTAATATGAAGCTTATTTCACTCTGGTAAAAGCCATTTTAGTTGTCATAATTCATGTAAATTAGCAACCATTCTACCATCTATTCATTTCATGTATAGATGATAGCCTTGAAATGCAATGTAATCCATATTGTTAGGATTCTCACATCTTCTGTCTTTTGTGTGAAAATTAGAGATTTAATGGTGGTTGCATTTGAATAAAGTAGTGGGTTCTAATGCTTAAAATATAAACTGTTTTCATTTATGGCCAATTTTGTCCCTGGTAATCACACTTTTGAGGATGTTTTTATTGAAGTGCTGGGTATTTGTCCAGATTTAATGATTAATGATTGCTGCATCAAACTCAGTCAGTTATTGATTTATATGGATGGAAAATATTTCTCATGGACAATATTGTTTTCTCATACTTTGAAACATTGTATCATAAAAGTGGACAATTAGTGTGTAAATGTTATTGTATGCAGTGTTGTTTAGGCCTGTATCTTGCTAAGCAATGGAGAATATTTTAACTGGAAGCTTTTACTTTTTATATAGATGTATTTAACTATTTTCCTAGATAATTTTATCTCAGATGGTCAGAAAGTCTATATCAGTACTTATTATTTACCATGTTATTAGGACTAATGTCTTGAGAATAAAACAAAGCAGGCTATTTTATCTGTAAGTTTAACTTTTTCTTTTCCAGGAATATTTTTTTGATGAGAAATGCAAAAGTTAAAAAAGAAATGTAATACTGAGATATTTTTTAAATCACAGTTATCTTTATATATCTGCATCACTGATAAGTTAGTGAAAGTTTTGTTTAGAATAGACCAAATACAGTGAATATTAATTCTCCCATGTCAAATGCAAACATGTTGATAAGCCAATCCCTCATTTAATCAAAGCAAACCTTTTTTCTCCTATAAAAACCCAACCAAGCCCATCCTCCATTTTATAACAATTGACCATAATTCCTCCATGATAAACCCAAACATGTTGATGAGCCTATTTCCTTGAAGTAAATAAACTGTAATTCTCCCAATCTCAAAAATCCACACTTGTTGGTAAGCCCATCCCTTATTTCATAAAAGTAAACCATAATTCTCTCATGATAAATTTGTAGATATGCACATTTAAAAGTCAACCATAATTTGTATTGTTGTGTTTGGTTTGAATTATGTCTATACAATATGTTTATGTTATGATGCATGTGAGATATTGTTTTGCTTAAAAGTACTAAAAGTGTTAGATCCTTTTTTGTTCTCCACCATAAGAGAAGGCCCCTAGTGGCCAAGTGGTCAAAAGTGCTCACCATTATGGATCTCTGCCATGCCACCTCTTCCTGCATGTGTTAGAGTTTTGGGCTTAGTCAATGTGGGTATGTGAAAAAGCTTGCCAGAACCTTCCCATGGGCTGGTGGTTCTTTCCAGGGTTTTTCTGGGTTCTTCCTCTACCATTGATACTGGCTGCCATGTATAGCCTCTTGTGCTGAAAAATGGCATTAAACCCAACAACCACCACCACCATAAGTGCAGATTATATCATGTTATGATGTCTTTCTATTACCTACAGTCACTAAACCTTAGAAATAAGATACATTTGGTCTATGGAAAAACTTTATTGATTTCATTCTCTAAAGGTCAAGGTCTCTCTATATGAGGCAAAATGATTTCTGCAAATTCCTGGAATTCTCTACATCTGTGGTTACTAGATTTTATGGATGATTTGCACATGGTTTAAGGAAGAACCATGTTAATTTTAGAGACATAAACATCAAAGATCAAGGTTACCTTGAAAAATCTTTAGAAATTGCTTCTGGACAATAACATTAGTTCTGCAGAACATACCTCAACCACATTTCGCAGATAGCTGGTGCTTTGAGTAAGGAAGAAAACTACCAATTTTGGCATGAAAAGGTCAAAGGTCAAGGTTATTCAGAAGAAGAATGGTTTCTGCCAAAAACTTCAGTTATCTGCAGAGAGGACTGGTAAACATATGGCAGGTATAATGTGCCGCTTACAAAGCTCTTGTTTCCAGCGGGAATTCTAAAGCTAAATGTTTTTTTTCAATATATTTGTATTTATTTAAAGTAATATATCATAATTGTTGGTGTTTGTGGTGGATTCAGAGGATGAAAATGTTTATAATTGTGACATTTAGATTTATTTTTTGCTTTTCATTGAGATCTAGAGTGGGAAGAAATGCCTTCTGTATTAAATATGTTGCCTTAAGTGACCTACTTTAATAACTTTTTCCTTTTCAGTCTGAACCTTATCTAATAATTAGTCCCATCTTCATAAAAATGGGTCTAATTTAACTTCTTTAAACTAAAACTTTTTACATATCTGAAGAATAACTGTCAGAAAAGATGCAAATTTTTTTGGAAACTAACTTGCTCATCCTCTCTATCTTGGAGTCAAGGTCTCAAGACTGATTGCCAGCTTAATGTGCAGGCATTAGTGGTTTGTTTACTTGATGATAATAGAAACTGACTTATTTTATATATTTGTAATATAATTATATATCTGTGAAAAGGATTTAATGAGATGAACCTTTAATAAAAATCAAGTGAGCAGAATTAGAATTTTTTTAGAAATTGTTATCCTGTCCTCAGTTATTGTGAGACTTCAAACTTCCAATCACTGTTCCAGTGGCCTAGTGGTTAAGGCATCCACCTTGTAAGCAGGGGTCACAGGTTCAAATCTTGGCTGAGTCATACCAAAGACTTATAAAAATGGTACTAACAGCTGTCTCACTTGACACTCAGCATTAAGTGGTTAGTGTTAGGACTGGTCAGTCTGGTGTCAGGATAATGTGTGTTAGTGGGATATCATGCTACATGTCTGTGGCACAATGCCCCAGTGCTAGACATCATTATAAACTGTCACACTGCAAACCTGTAGCAATATGACTGAAAAATTGTTAAAAGCTATATTAAAAATGTAAATCACCCCCCTATATATATATATATATATATATATATATATATATATATATATATATATATATATGAATGACCAGATTTTGGAATATTAGAACTTTGTTATTTCATTTTTTTGTTGCTCAAATGTTAGAATATGAATCGGGAGTCTCCCTGCCAATCAAAGGTATCCCACTTGTGTATTTAAGCTGTGGCTGTGTGAGTTACATAAAAAAATCACAATGTTGTTCAAGCATATCAACAATTTATTCAAGGATTGAAGTTTCAATTTTGTCAGCATTAATGAAATTTTGAATTCAATAATGTGACTTCAAACTGACCATAAATCCATAATAAACAAAAATACTCCATGTAATCCAGCAGTTTATAGTAAATCTGAATACTAACTTCTGCATAAAAAAAATATCATAAATCAGCAAAAATACTATATATTTATTTTTTAATCTGCAAATCTAGAAAGGGTTCTGTAGAAAGTGGTATCATGGCTGAGAATGTCATTTTGAGGACATAGTAAAATGCAGCCAAGATATGAGAATTACATTGTTACACTTGAAATACATGGTTATAAGATGCATCATTGTGACAGTATAGCAGTAAAATGCAGGCAAGACATGAAAATGGCACTCTAAGGACAATAAGGCAATAAGATGTAAGCAAGACATGAGAATGTCATTGTGAGGACAAAGAAGTAAGAAGCTGGCAAGACATGAGAATGGCATTGTGAGGACAAAGAAGTAAGATGCTGGCAAGACATGAGAATGGCATTGTGAGGACAAAGAAGTAAGATGCTGGCAAGATATAAGAATGCCTTGTGAGGACAAAGAAGTAAGATGTAAGCAAGACATGAGAATGGCATTGTGAGGACAAAGAAGATGCTGGCAAGATATGAGAATGACACTGTGAGGACACTGCACAAGAAATAAGAATGGCATTGTAAAGACATAGCAGTATGATAGAGGCAAAACATGAGAACATAATATCAGGACATGGAAATACAATGCTGGCAAGACATGAGAATGTTGATTTAGGATATGGCAATATGATAAAACGAGACATGAACTCCTAGCATGTTAGGGTAGAAACATTACTGACACTGACAGAACTTTTAATAAACAATATTTCTCCCATCATAAGACTAGTGGGGCCTGCATAACAAATTTATAAAGTATGGGTGGGCTTAGTATCAGTCAGTGCTATCATTAGTATTATACTGTGGGTGAACTTGTCAGATAAAAATGGTAGGTGGCTGATTCTGCAGATACATTGACTAAATATGCATACAATTTTTTTAATGCAGTTATGGTATGTCAGGCTGTTTGATTTAAAACAATTAAAGCTATTTGGTTTCAAATATTCTTTGGGGCATGATAAATCTCTTGATGTTTGTGATTTAGTTATTTATATTTGAATTGTGCTCTATATTACATATCTTGTTGAAATTTAAACAAAAGTCCATCAAAAGGACTGAGACACCAGACAATACCATTTGTTTATTTTAACTAAGTTCTGATTAACCATCTCTGATATTCTTGAGTGACAAGACTTTGAAATTAATCACTGTTGCAACCATATTGGAAGTAAGATTGGCACCATTGTCATTTTGGACAAACTAGATACAATTACAAGACTTCTGGTGAAAACCTCATGCTGATATGACTATCACACTGGGGATTTAGTGACAAGGTTTTCAATACATCCTTGTGGCATCCATTTTTATGGTCAGAACAGCACCATTTTCATTCATAAACTACTATGTATCAATATTAGTCTTCTGTGAAAATACTATCTTCATACAGCTTTTCATTTAGAGGAAGCAGCAAAAATAAGATTTTCAAGATGGCTGCCATTGAGACAACCTTTTTATTTACTATGCACAACACAGTGTAACCTTTTCTGAGTGAACATCCAATGTTAATATGAATTTTCATCTAGTAGTATGAATTAGATTTTCAATATAGCCACTGTGTTGGACATACTTGCTATCAGATCATCATAAGTTTTATTTAGAACTAACCAAACACCACAAGAAGCCTTCTTGCAAAATTCCCATGCTGAGATGACTTTCCATTTAGTAGATGTAGTGTTGTAATAAGAAGACAAGTAATGTCGGGGCCATATTAATTCAGCCCAATTTTCATTTGAGATCAATCAGATATCACAACTCGTTTACATAAACCCCTGTTAATATGATCATCCATACAGGTGTAATGATAAAATTTCAAGATGGCCAATGAGATGGCCAAAACCATTGTCTGGGTGGTACCATTTTTATTCCGGTGAAAAACCCATTCCAGTATGTCTTTGCATTTATTGTGGCACTAATACTGTATCAGTTCCATTATTTTAATTTGGAAGCAAGTACACGTAAAAAAAGTATTTTAGAATTTTAGTAAAAAACCCACATTGATATTACCATCCATTCAGGAAAAGTAGCAAAACTGAGATTTCCACATACTTAATGTGGAGGCCATAATGGGTATTTGCAGTGCAATAATATCATTTATAATCAACATTAAATCACATCAATTCTTCTGGCATAAACTCAATGACTTCCACTCAGGATGAGAAGCAATAATATATTTTAAAGAAGGCTGCCATGATGTCTATTTTTGGCATTAAATCGGTTATTATTTTCATTTGGGACCAACTGAACAGCACAAAAAGTCTTTTACTGAAAACTCCATGCTGATCCAGTCATATGTATGTATGTATGTATGTATGTATGTATGTATGTATGCCTGCATGTATGTATGTATGTATGTATGTATGTATGTATGTATGTATGTATGTATGTATGTATGTATGTATGTAGCACTTTAAGGCACTTCAGCACAATAATGGCTATGTGGTGTGAACTAAAGATAAATGTTTGAAAAATGTTATAATGAACTGGACAATAAAATCACAAAGAAAACAAGACATTCCAAAAATATATAACATCCATGACAAGATAACATACAAAACATAAAAAATAAGATTTTCAAGATGACCATTGTGGTGGCCATAATAGTTTTCAAGATGGCACCATTTTAAGTTAGGATAATCCAGACATAATAAGTCTTTCAGTAACAATATGAGATATGAACATCCATTCAGGAGGAGTAGCAATAGGAAGATTTTCAAGATGGCCACTGTGGCAGCCATATTGGATGCTTGGGCATCACAAATGTTTTTTTGGACAACTAGCCCTTATGATTTTATGTGTATAAGATTTCACAGTATTTCTGCAAGTGGTTTAGAACTTCTAAACTTCTGTTGATGTACTAAGGACAATAGACCATCCCCAAAAGTTCTTCTATTGTTTGATTAGTAGAGAAAAGAAATACTATCTTAAAGTAGTTTTAAACCTGAGAGAGTCAAAATACCCAATTTACTACATTCTTATCAACAAATCCATACATACTATTAGTAAGATGATAAGCACAAGTTGGATATCAGATGCATTGTAGGGTCATGTAACACTTTGAGTACCCTAGCCAATGATATAACTGGTATCACATAAGAAACTATTGTATAACTGATTTATTGTATTACCATGACTTTCCTTCCAATTTTTATGGAATCAGCTTTCTTTTTTCAGCATCTCATGTTTCACTTTTGCACAGTCTTTCATGGTACCCTGGTTTCTTTTGCTTTTTACATAATGCATCTTTATGAAGATAATTGTCAGCAATTATTTTGAACTATTCATATGTTATACTTCTATTTCTTTCAAATCATCATCTTTTCTACATGCAAGATGGAAGTGATGTGATATGCATGACAGAAATGAAGTGATATTTTATTGAGTTGTCTTTTCTACATGCATGATGGAAGTGAAGTGATATGCATGACAGAAATGAAGTGATATTTTATTGAGTTGTCTTTTCTACATGCATGATGGAAGTGAAGTGATATGCATGACAGAAATGAAGTGATATTTTATTGAGTTGTCTTTTCTATATGCAAGATGGAAGTGATGTGATATGCATGACAGAAATGAAGTGATATTTTATTGAGTTGTCTTTTCTACATGCATGATGGAAGTGAAGTGATATTTTATTGAGTTGTCTTTTCTACATGCATGATGGAAGTGAAGTGATATGCGTGACAGAAAGGAAGTGATATTTTATTGAGTTGTCTTTTCTACATGCATGATGGAAGTGAAGTGATATGCATGACAGAAATGAAGTGATATTTTATTGAGTTGTCTTTTCTACATGCAAGATGGAAGTGATGTGATATGCATGACAGAAATGAAGTGATATTTTATTGAGTTGTCTTTTCTATATGCAAGATGGAAGTGATGTGATATGCATGACAGAAATGAAGTGATATTTTATTGAGTTGTCTTTTCTACATGCATGATGGAAGTGAAGTGATATGCATGACAGAAATGAAGTGATATTTTATTGAGTTGTCTTTTCTATATGCAAGATGGAAGTGATGTGATATGCATGACAGAAATGAAGTGATATTTTATTGAGTTGTCTTTTCTACATGCATGATGGAAGTGAAGTGATATTTTATTGAGTTGTCTTTTCTACATGCATGATGGAAGTGAAGTGATATGCGTGACAGAAAGGAAGTGATATTTTATTGAGTTGTCTTTTCTACATGCATGATGGAAGTGAAGTGATATGCATGACAGAAATGAAGTGATATTTTATTGAGTTGTCTTTTCTATATGCAAGATGGAAGTGATGTGATATGCATGACAGAAATGAAGTGATATTTTATTGAGTTGTCTTTTCTATATGCAAGATGGAAGTGATGTGATATGCATGACAGAAATG